GAGGGAGGAGGAGGAGGAGGAGGAGGAGGAGAGGAGGAGGAGGAGGAGGAGGAGGAGGAGGAGGAGGAGGAGGAGGAGGAGGAGGAGGAGGAGGAGAGGGCTGGCACGGGCTGCATGCTCTCGGCGGCGGTGCACGGGGGGCACCCACGCTGGACTCTAGATGGGCTTGGAGAGGACAGCGCGCATCGCCAATGCACTGGCGATGCGCATCGCCGATGCGTTGGCGAGGCACCGGCGACGTCGACGGTGCCTCGGCGCCGTCGGCGTGGAGAAAATCGTGCCCAACGTCGAAACTCCAGCCCCATCTACTCGGGCTTCAGCTGGGAGGCCTGGACTAGACACACACACACACATAGAAGATGAAACAACGGCAGAACCGTTAACTTTTGGCACTGCGCGCGGACTCCTTGGGTCTGCGATGGACGCCCTCTCCGGCGCGCGGAGCGGGCGGCGCCGGAGGCACCTCCAGGGGGGCCCAGCGAACATCCAAGAAATCCGCGCGGAGCGCCAGCAGCTTATGTTGATGCCGTGTTATTGCTTCGGGAACATACAGACACAAACAGACACAGAGACAGAGACAGAGACACACACACACACATGGGGCCAACACGCGTCCTGAAGAACGTCGACCCTGCCGGGGTGCATGTCCTCCTACATGCGGATTTTGGACGACAAATAAGAAATAGGCAAACGTACTCACAACCAATGATGCTGTAGAAACACCCCGATCAGGGCTATAGGGCTAGGGGGCTATAGGGCTATTGAGCTATAGGGCTATAGAGCTATAGGGCTATAGAGTTGTAGGGCTATAGGGCTATAGGGCTATAGGGCTATAGGGCTTAAGGCTATAGGGCTATAAGGCACCCCCCCGGCACGCCCGGGCACGCCCGGGCACCCCTGGGCCCCCCCCAGGCACCCGGGCACCACCGGGCACCCGGGCACCCGGGCGTGCAGCGAAAACCGGCGACAAACCTAACCTAACCATATGAATCCGCTAGGACCCCTACAGAGGCAAGCTCTGATTGTGGAAGGATGTCGTAAATTGTAAAACACAATCCCCAGACTATTTTTGACTATTTTTGAATATTCTCCCTGTAGAGGGACATGCCCGACTTAAGACTAGACGCACACACACACACACACACACACACACACACACGGGGCCAACACGCTTCCTGAAGATCGTCGACCCTGTCGAGGCGGGGGGCCTGGCCCTTGCCAGACCTGGCACAGGCGGATGGCGGGCGCCACCCCAGCGTGGCCGGGGAGGCGAGGCCTGGTCTGGCCCTGTCGCCCACACGGGGGAGCGAATGGGTGGGATAGCAGATCGGGTGTTGCTAGAAGTGCCCCTGGCCCAAGGTGCCCTCAGGATTTCCAGGGATGCCCCCACGGCCTTCAGAGCACCCCTCACGAGGGTTCCAACATGGAGCGCAAAGCTGGGGGCACCTTGGGCCAGCGGCCAGGGGTACCTTTAGCAAACCCCGAGCAGAGGTTAGGGTAGAGAATCAGCTCACGTAGCCGGCTTTCCTGGCGCCTCCTAGCGCCGGGAGGCGCCCACGCATCGAAAAATGGGCCCAGCGGCGGGGCCGAAACCAGCTGCATGCAGCAGATTTCGTCCCCCCCCCCTTTCCCTACCCCCCCGTCCGTCCAGCCCGACCCACGCAAGAGTGACCCCGGGGCAGGAGGGACCTTTGCTGCGCTGCCTCCAGCGGCCGCGAGGGGGCCAGATCCTAGCGCGCAGGCCAATGCCTCCGCGCTAGGATCTGTGGGCCCGCACCAACAGGTCGCTCTGGCGGAGGGTCGCTCGCACGTGCCGCCGAACCTGTTCCCCGAGACGGGCTCTTCATCCTGCGCCGCTCTTCGACTGCCCAGGGGCCCGGCGAGGGCCCCCAGAGGCCGAACATTGGGAAGCCCTGAATTCTGAGATGCGAGGGTGCGAAACACAATTGATTGCAACACAGTGAGAAGCCCTAGACTTCTGCATACTTACCATGTTCCGAGCCGGACGGCTCTGTGAAGATCCCAAGGCCCGAAACTGGGCGAGAACAACCGCTGTGCAACACTTGCAACTCGGGGAAACTTCCGCCCTGAGCTTCTCGGGGCGTCAGAGTCCCTCGTCGTGCGCTCAGTCGCGGATTCCGAATGGAAGGATGTGCCCACTGCCGCATGTGGCGGCCGAGCGTCCTCCGGCGGCCGCGCGTCCGCGAAAGGACACATTAGGGGGGATCCGGCTCAACGGGGGGAGGACATGCCTGAATCCGCGATACATCGCCGCAAGAGGCCCCCAAGAGTCCCCCAAGAGGCTCCAAAGAGGCCCCCAAGGCGCCCCAAAGAGGCCCCCAAACGGCCCCCAAGAGGCCTCAGAACTGCCTCCAAGAGGCCCCCGAAAGGCCTCCCACGAGATCCCAAGGAACATCCAATAAGCTTCATACCCACAACCAGGCACGGTGGCGGGACTTGCCATAGGCAGCTGGATCCGCCGCCCCCTGCTTGCAGGGGTGCACGGCGTGCTGGATGTTTCAGGTTTTGGTTTTGGTTCTTTTTCCAAAAGAACTCCCCAGTGGGCTCCGGCAGAACCCGCCGGCCACCCGGAAGGTGCTCAACGACCGGAAAAAATCCTCCAAAAAACGGCCGTTTCGCTCGGGACATCCTCAAAAAATCGCGAAGATGGCCCAAGATGGCCTCCAAGTCCGCCCGAGATGGTCCAAGACGGCCTCCAAAACGGCCCAAGAGAGTCCAAGACGGCCCAAGACGGCCCAAGAGGCCCCCCAGAGGCCTCCCAGACGGCCCAAGAGGCCTCCAAGAGGTCCTCCAGGAGAGTCCGAAGAGGCCAAAATCATTGATTTTTTTTTGGTTTTTGAAGGATTCTGGCATTTGCGCCTTTTCGGCTCTCCGACGGCTCGAGACGGCCCAAGAAGCCCCCAAGATCGCCCAAGAGGCCCCCAAGAGAGCCCCATGATGGCCCAAGTGGCCTCCAAGATGGCCCCTAGAGGGCCCCAAGAGGGCCCAAGAGGCCTCCAACACGCCCAAGATGGCCTCCCAGACGCCCAAGATGGCCTCCAAGACGGCCCTGGAGCATTCCAAGCGGGCCCCAAGTCGGCCCATAGAGGCCCCCCAAACGGCTTCCGACGGCTTCAGACGTGCCAGGAACCCACCAAGATGGCCGAAGTTGGCTCGAAGCTGGCCCGAGACGGCCCAAAAAGCCCCAAAGATCGCCCAAAGCTTGCCCAAGAGGCCTCCAAGACGGCCAAGATGACCTTCAAGATGCCCACGTGTTCCCCGAAGGCTTTCCAAACCGATTCGGGGAACACGTGGTCCGATAGCTTGGCAGGTCTGGCCTCAACGTTCGGCCACATAGGCGCTTCCAAAAAGGCAGGGGGCGGCGGTGATTCGCCGTAAGCGTCTTCGATACATCGCCGACAGACGCCCCCGATAGCGAGTCCGCACGCTCCTGGGCGGGGCCGGCTATGTCGGATCCCAATCGGCGAGGCACCCCCAAGGAGTTTCCCGAGCAGCCGAGCGAGGTCCGGGGCGTGCGCCTCACGCAAGTTCCGAATCGAGGGAAGGCAAGGGGTCCAGGACTGGCTTCCCTCATGACCTGTTCCCTTTTCCGCCAAGCGATCCGCCACCGTGCCCCCTGGCACGTTGAGACGTGCTTGAATGCCAAGTGATGTCTGGTAGGGGTTCCCCGCCGCACCTCGTCGCGCGCACCGGCCCTACTCTCGGGGGTCCCTGGGAGGCCATGGCGCCTCCCAGGGGCTCTCCAAGATTTCCTTGACGGCCCAGGAGGCCCCCTAAGACGGTCCAAGAGGGTCCCGAGTCGCCGAACGATCGCTCGAAGACGCCCAAGATGGCCTCAAGATGGCTCAAGAGGCCTCCAAGACACCCCAAGATTCCTCCAAGAGGCCTCCAAAGAGGGCCCAAAGATGCAACAATTACTGATTTTCCTTAGGTTTGTGAAAGATTATTGAGTTCTTGTCTTTTCAGCCTTCCGACGCTCCAGAACGGCCCAAGAGGCCCCCAAGACCACCCCAGAACGGCTCAAGGGGCCCCCAAGAGGGCCCCAAGACAGCCTAAGAGCGCCACAAGACGGCCCAAGAGGCGCCCAAGACGGCCCAAGAGGACCCCAAGACGGCCGCAAAAGGGGCCCACGAATGGGAACACGAACAGAAAATACAAGCCTTAAGCCCCAAGAAGCCCCCAAGAGGCCCACAAGAGATCCCCAAGAGACTCCCAAGAGGCCCAAAGAGGTCCCCAAGAGGCCCCCAAGAGGCCCCATGAGGCCTCCAAGGCGCCCAAAAGAGTCTTCCAAACGGCCCCCAAGAGGCATCAGAACTGCCTCCAAGAGGCCCCCCACGAGATCTCAACGAACAACCACCAATCAGCGTCATACCGGCAACCAGGCACGGTGGCGGGACTTGCAGTAGGCAGCTGGATACATCGCCGATGGAAGCCCCCGATAGCGTGTCCACACGTTCCTGGGCAGGGTGGAATATCGGGTCACCATCGGCGAAGAATGAGCCAGGGGGGGTCGATGCATCCCCCTTGAGGCCTGGGCCCATCCCAATTAAAGTTGCCCTCTGGTTTTCGAGCCATCTCTTGGCTCTCTGGCAACCGCTCGGGACGATCCGGGCACCCCCGGGACGCCCTCAGGGCGCAGCTGCTGGAGCACATCCCGAGGCCCGAAAGCCGCCAAGAAACACCGAACACGCCAAAAAACCTCGCACTTGGAGACCGAAACGTTCCCCCCCCCACTTGAGCCAATACCCCCCGACGCCTCCGCTGAGTCTGACCGCGCGCTCGCGGCCGCCGTGGCCGCCGCTGGTGGCGCTGGGCGGCCGCTGCCAGTGGCGGCGGCCGCGACGGGCGGTCGCGGCGGCGCCGCGGCGCGGCAGCGCGCGGCGCGGCGAGCTGTTTCCGGCGGCGGCGCGTCTAGACATTTGCGTTCCACCACTCGCACAGTATGGCCACTCGCAAGTGGCCTGGATCCGCCGCGGGGTCTATGCGATCCAGCACGTCGAAGCAAGCCTGTGCTTTCAGGAGAACGAACATAAAAAATCTGAGCAGACGTTTGCGAGTGCAGTGGAGGCCAGTCCACAAGAAACCTTCCACAAGAACCCCCACCCTGAGACCCCTGGGCGTCCATGGACCTTTGGTGCGGGAACGCCACGCTTCCCATCGCAAAACCATCGACACCCAAGAAGCCCAGGGCACCCTGGAGGCAAGCAGCGTGCTTCTTGGCATGGGCCTCCGCTGCACGCGAGACGACACAGCGACCTCACGCCGCGGTTCGTGCGGGCCGCCAGCGCGGCAAACCGTGTGGAGGAGAGGGCGCTTACTTGAGCAGGGACCGACCGTCCCGGCATTCCTGTAGGCCTACCACGACATGTTCTTAGAACCCAAACTATTCCAACAACAACAACAACAACAACAACAACAATTACTAGCACGTGGGGACACTCCGTTCTCACCAGTGCCAGGGTTTTCACAGGAGGCGGGCAATACCCCCACTTTGTGGGGGGGCCGGTTCAAGCTCTACCAAACTTCCAAACGACTCTTCGCCACCACCCACACCCAGCTTCCCGCCCTATGACGTTCGGACACTTCACTTCGTGGCACGCGGACGACCGTGGCTACTATTCAGGGCCCCGCGGCCGACGACGACGGCGTGCGCGCGCGAAGAAAAAACGAATGTGTCCCGCATGGTATTATTTGACAGGGATGATGGCCCTGGCAGGTGCGCAACCGTTGTCGCAGAAGTTCGAAAAAGTTGCTCGCAAAAGCCCGTTTGACAGAAATGTTTAAAAAGTGTTGGGTTTCCTACGAATCCGCAAGAGCGCGCGGGATGAGATTTTGACATTTTTTTGTTGAAAAACCATTGGTTTTTTGATGTTTTATGTTAAAATCGCTACGAACACTAAGGTTTTGGAAGGATTTCGTCTTGCGCGCGCGAATGTCCACTTTACCTTATTTTTTGCAAGGGATTCTTGAAATTTGATTATATTAGAACAAGAAATGTCATTTTATAGTGTTTTTTGCAAGGGAAAACGGATTACAACAAAACAGCCGGATCTGGATCACATCGTTTTACCTGAGGCTTCCTCACGAAAATGATGAAAATGTGGCTGCGGCCTAGGCGCGGCGGGGGGGGCGGCACCAGGGGGCCCAACAATAATTATTCTTTAGAATAATAATAATGCAACAACAACAAACAACAACAACACAACAACAACAACAACAACAACAACAACAACAACAACAACAACAACAACAACAACAACAACAACAACAACAACAACAACAACAATCATTTTAAGACTGTTCAAGCGTGCTTCTTGGCATGGGCCTCCACTGCAGGCCCTGCAGGCCCTCTGCGAGCCGTGGAGCGCGCTCGGCGAGCGTCAGGCGGCGCGGCCGCGACCGCCGCCCGCGGCCGCCGCGGGCGCCGCCGGGCGTGCCGCGCAGCCGCGGCCGGTGGCGGCGGGCGCCGAGACGGCCGCGCCGCCCGCGGCGGCGGCGGCCCGGGGCCGCGGCGAGCGCGCCCAGCCGGAGGGCAGCGTGGGCGCGCGGCCGCTCGCGTCGAGGGGCTGGCCGGCGGTGGCCTGTGAGGATTGGGGACGTTGCTGCAGCGGTGCCCCTGGCCCGAGGTGCCCCCCAGGAGTGCCGAGGGGGCCCCCCGCGGCCTCCAGAGCACCCCCCACGAGGCCCAGAGGGCCCCATGGGCTCCAAGAGGGAGCGAAAAGCTGGGGGCACCCATTGGGCCAGGGGCCCATTTCGGCGACCCCCGAGCCATCGGCTTCAGCCGATCCCCATCCCCGAGGGCCCCTCGCGTCGTGGTGAGCAGCACGGCGAGAGGTTTGTGGCCGGTTTCGGCCTCTGGGGGCCCCTTGGCGGGCCCTGGGACCGCCCGGAGAGGGCCAGGGAGGACATGCCAGTCCTGGAGGATGCATCGAGACGTCCGGGGCTGAGGCACCGCCCAGACGTCCAGCGCTCCGATGTGTTCGATGCGCGGGCCCCCCCCATGTCTGGGCCACTTCCCCGCAGGGGCGTCCGTTGGTGCGGAGCAGTGTTGCGACGCGGGGCCCGTGGAGGGCCCCCGGAGGCCGCACATAGCACACACTCCGCCGCTCCGGTGTTTTCTGAGTCTCGGATCTCTGGGGATGGGGGTCGCCCAAGCGGTGCCGAGCCTTGAGGCTGGCGTGCGGCGAGGCCCTGGGCGAAGTCCTGGGCGAGGCCCTGGGCGAAGCCCTGGGCGAAGCCCTGGGCGAAGCCCGGAAGCTCGGCGAGGCCCGCCGCGATGTGGCCTGCGGCGGAGAGCCAGCGGAGGCCCGCCGCAGCTGCTCGAGCAACTCCTTGGGCAACCACATGTGATCAACCCCGAACTTTTATCCCTGTCCCTGAGATCGACCAGTCCGAAACGATAGTCCATGATGGGGATGCCCCCTCTGAAACCCGCAATGATCCTCAAGGTCGACAGCGAGCCAGGGTGATGCCAATCACAAGGATGGGGATGCCCTTCAGGCTGGTAAATCTATGCGCGACGAAACGAAAGAGGCTTAACGCAAGAAGGTATAGCGACCTCACGCTACAATTCGCGCGGGCCGCCAGCGAAGCACACCGTATGGGGAAGAGTCGCTTCTTGCGCGAGACCCTACGCGGAAAACTTACCAGCGGATGTCGGCGCAATCGACCTCGTTTTTTTCATCACACACATGTGAACCGTACCCCTGCACGTCAGACTTGTGAAACAGCTGGCTGGGGCTCAGAAGTCGAGGGCTGTCCGCAGCAGAGTCATACCCAAGCGGGGTTGTCCGATACCCCGCATCAAATAGATCCGCAGGGGTAGGGTTCGCACGTGGTTGCATATCGATGTTCCAGGCGGTCGTTTTGGAAAAATGGGGAAGCCCAAACATACTGCTACCTCGAATCCCTGGACCTCTCCTGGGGTGCGCTCTGACCAGAACTTCGAGGCGAATCCAGCCGTGGCGACGAGGGTCTTCCACTGAGATTGTTTGTTGGGTGGAGGGCTTAAGGTGAAATCTTCATGGGCTTGTGCACCTCGAAAATCAGTCCGTCTTGTGGTTGGGTGGCTTTCAAGGTAAATTTGTGTTGTATAGCGGCCTGTGTATCTGCAGCGCCTGGCTTTGCCACGATTGCGCCAGCGCGTGATCAGGCACCGCTGATGGCTCGCACCCGACAATATTTCAAACAATGCTTTGCCGCCCCGCCGATGTCACCCGCGGGTTGTTCGTGCCTCGGCGAATCCACGCTCACCGCATCTGCGAATAGCAGGCGGACGCGAATTCTCTTGACATTGTATTAACTTGTCTTCCATATGTTGCCAGCGCCCAGTCCCTGATTGGCTGGGTGGTTCGCTATTGCTTGGTTGGCCCGCTGGTTGGTTGGCTGGCGGGCTGACTGTTGGGCTGAATGGTTGGATGGATGGCTGGTTGGGTGGCTGGCTGACTCTCTGGGCCCTCGGGCACGCGACTGGCGCCAGACAAGTAAAGGGGCGCGCGACTGGCGCGCGGCAGGTGTACGAGCACGCCACTGGCACCCGACGGGTGCTTTGGCCGTTCTAGAATTTGTTTTTGTCTGCGCTTTATACTGAGTGAATTCACAGGCTTTGGTTGTGCGTGCTAGAACTACTTCTGCTGTTCTAGAATTCGCTTTGCGGTTCTAGGTCACCGATCTGGAATTTGTCCTGTTTTTCTAGAACCGCCTCCGGCCGCTTGGCAGGAAACGCGTGGGAAAAACGGCGGTGGTCGGGATTCGGGGGCCCATCGCGGGAAGGCGGGGGTGGCCCCGAGTGGAGCCCCGAGCGGGCTTCGGAGCAAAGTATGCGCACGTCTGCGGAGCCACCGTACGCCAGCTTGGCGAGATGGGGGACAAGGGCCTGGATTGAGAGACGGCGACTCTAATTAAGGTGCTGGCGACGGCGTGGGCGTGGTGATGGGCCGAGTGCACGTGGTTCACAGAAAAGTGATGCGTCACCCGCCTGTTGCCCCCAGCGATTAGCGCGGGCGGGCGGATGATGATGATGATGATGATGATGATGATGATGATGATGATGATGAAGATGATGATGATGATGATGATGATGATGATGATGATGCTGATTATGATGATGATGACGTCGATGATGCTGATTATGATGATGATGAGGATGATGAGGATGATGATGACGATGACGGTGACGATAACGATGACGACGATGATGATGATCCTGATGATGATAATGATGATGATGCTGCTGATGCTGAAGCTGATGATTATGATTATGATGATGATGATGATGATGATGATGATGATGCTGATGCTGATGCTGATGCTGATGCTGATGCTGATGCTGATGCTGATGATGATGATGATGATGATGATGATGATGATGATGATGATGATGATGATGATGATGGGGTGGGTGGGTGGGTGGGTGGAGGAGGACGGGGGGGAGAGGGAGGCAGAGTGAAATTATCAGCCTTGGAGGAGGTGCAGGCGGAGGCGGAGGCACTGAGGGGAATGGAGGCGGAAGCAGGGGTGCAGGAGGCGGAGAAAGAAAGGACGGGGGAGAGGGGGGATGTTGATGGGTGGCGATGTTTTGGGCGAGACAGCATCTCAGATTTCACCCTTTGCCCGCCACTCCCACAAAATGATCGGTCCCAGGAGGCTCAACAAAGCGAAAACGAGGAAGGGGAAGTAATATAGTGGAACAAACAATGACATAACCATAACAAATCTGAGGTCCGCGCAGATGTCCTGGATCGGCGCTGGACCCCCTCTCTGGCGCGCAGAATTCGCCGGGCTGAGTTGGAGCCGCCGCTGGGGGGCGCCGAACCTCCAAAAATTTATGTGTATGTCACTGTTTGTTCCCCCATCCCAAATATCTGGCCGCCGGAGCCTCGGAGATCCCGGAAGGCCCCGGAGATCTGGACCACTTCCCCGGGCCGGTTTTTCCTCCCGAGTCGTTTTTGAACGCTCCCAAGGCCCACCGAGGGCTCCTGGAGACCGAAAACTGCTACAAAATCCCGCCGCCACAATTTTTTCGAGCGTCGCATCTCTGGGGCAGGGCTGGACCTAAACGTTTGTGTTTCGTTTTGTTGTCGGTTTGGTGCCAATACGAAGAACACATTTCAGCCGAAGTCCAGCAACACAGCGTCTAGGTCCAGCCCTGCTCTGGGATGGTAGTGGGCCTCTGCGCAAGCTTCGCAAAGGGCCGCAGACTCCTGCTCCTCGCGGAGGCGGCGCAGGGCGCTCCGCCCCAGGAAGCCCCGCGCCAGCGCCTGGATGCGCTGCGCGGCACCGTCGAACGCCGGGGGCTCCGGCGGCGGCGCGGCCGCGGCCGCGCGCGCCGCCGCCGCCTGAGCGACGAAAAGAAAGGGCTCCCACGCGAGACGACGACATACAGTGGAAGCTCGACCACAAGAATCCTCCCACAAGAAACCCCACCCTGAGACCCCAGGACGTCCATGGATTTTAGGTGCGGGACCGCAAAGCCATCGAAACCCAAGAAGCCCAGGGCACCCTGGAGGCAAGCAGCATGCTTCTTGGCATGGGCCTCCGCTGCACGCGAGACGACACAGCGACCTCACGCCGCGGTTCGTGCGGGCCGCCAGCGCGGCAAACCACGTGGAGGAGAGGGCGCTCACTTGAGCAGGGACCGACCGTCCCGGCATTCCTGTAGGCCTACCACGACATGTTCTTAGAACCCAAACTGTTCCAACAACAACAACAACAATCATTTTAAGACTGTTCGCTCTTATCTGCCCGAGTGTCCGTTAATGCGTATTTCGCTTTTTCGTGTTCAATGCGTATATCCGCCCTCTTCGTGTTCAATCGTACCCCTTTTGGGGGGTATACCTCCTTTCTTCCTTGCAGGCCGGGCCCTCGCAAGCGGCGGGGCGGCCGCGGACCGTCGGCCTGGGCAGCGGCAGCGCTGATCGGCGGCAACCTGACCCCAAGGGGGACGGACAGGGGGCCGACCACGACGACGACGACGTCGACGACGACGACGTCGACGACGACGAGCGAAACCGAAAGCGAGAGGGAGAACGACAGCAGGGCCACGAAGGGCACGAGGTAGGCCACGAAGGGCGACTGCGGGGACACGACAGGAATGTGTATGGGGCCACGAAGAACTCGAACGAGCGGAGGCCACGAAGGGCAGATAATGCGGGGCCACAGAAAGCAACGACGGGGCCACTGAGGGTAGCAACTGGGCCACGTAGGACAGCAAGGGGGCCACGAAGTGCGACAGCGGGGCCACAAAAGGCATGCACATGGGGCCACGACGGGCGCGAAGGAGTGGGGGCCACGAAGGGCATACGTATATTGGGCCGCGCAAGGCAGGGACGGGGCCACTGAGGGCAGCAACGGGGCCACGAAGGGCAGCGAGGGGGCCACAAAGGGCGACAGCGGGGCCACGAAGGGCATGCATATGGGGCCACGACGGGCGCGAACGAGCGGGGGCCACGAAGGGCATACATACATGGGGCCACGAAGGGCAGCGAGGGGGCCACGACGGGCTGCAACGGGGCAACGAAGGGCAGCGAGGGGGCCACGGAGGGCTGCAACGGGGCCACGAAGGGCAGCGAGAGGGCCACGAAGGGCTGCAGCGGGGCCACGAAGGGCATGCTTATGGGACCACGACGGGCGCGAACGAGCGGGGGCCACGAAGGGCATACATACATGGGGCCACGAAGGGCAGCCAGGGGGCCACGAAGGGCTGCAACGGGGCCACGAAGGGCAGCGAGGGGGCCACGAAGGTCTGCAACGGGGCCACGAAGGGCATCGAAAGGGGCCACGAAGGGCTGCAACGGAGCCACGAAGGGCAGCGAGGGGGCCACGAAGGGCTGCAGCGGGGCCACGAAGGGCAGCGAGGGGGCCACGATGGGCTGCAGTGGAGCCACGAAGGGCAGCGAGGGGGCCACGAAGGGCTGCAACGGGGCCACGAAGGGCAGCGAGGGGGCCACCAAGGGCTGCTACGGGGCCACCAAGGGCAGCGAGATCCTGATTCCCAAATAATATGTGAAGGATTCCTAAACGTCAGCGCGACTCCTGGGTGCCGGAGTGTCGGGGGCGCAAATTGCGGGAATTTCAAACGCAAGGGCGCTATTCCTTAGTAAATTGCAAGCAAGTCTCCAGCGAGAGCGCGACTCCAGAGCGCCGAGAGAACGATTCCTGAATAGATTGTAAGGAAATCCCAAGCGAGAGCACGATTCCCGAATAAAATGCGAGGAAGTCTCAAGCGGGAGCGGGGGTCCGGGCTAAATTGTAAGGAAGTCTCAGGCGTGAGCCGTTGTTGCTGTAACCTGGGGGCAGGGGCACAGTTTGAGCCTCAAAACTTTCCCTGATGAAAAACAGGGTGCGAGCCCCGGGAAAGGCATCGGAGGGGGGATCAGCAATAATTATTCTTCAGCAGTGGAAATTCAACAACAACAACAACAACAACAACAACAACAACAACAACAACAACAACAACAACAACAACAACAACAATCATTTTACCCGAACGCGTGGTGTTCTCCCCCAGGGTTTTCATACGACACCAGGCAATACCCCCACTTCGTGGGGGGGCATTACAAGCTCTACCAAATATCCAAACGACTCTTCGCGACCACCCAAACCCAGCTTCCCGCCCTATGACGTTGGGACACTTCACTTCGTGGCGTGCGGACGACCGTGGCTACTACACTGGCGTGGGGTACACACCCACAGAACCCAATGGTTTTTGGAGATTTCGGCGTGCGCGCGCGAAGAAAAAACGAATGTGTCCCGCATGGTATTATTTGACAGGGATGATGGCCCTGGCAGGTGCGCAACCGTTGTCGCAGAAGTTCGAAAAAGTTGCTCGCAAAAGCCCGTTTGACAGAAATGTTTAAAAAGTGTTGGGTTTCCTACGAATCCGCAAGAGCGCGCGGGATGAGATTTTGACATTTTTTTGTTGAAAAACCATTGGTTTTTTGATGTTTTTATGTTGAAATCGCTCCGAACACTAAGCTTTTGGAAGGATTTCGTCTTGCGCGCGCGAATGTCCACTTTACCTTATTTTTTGCAAGGGATTCTTGAAATTTGATTATATTTGAACAAGAAATTTCATTTTATAGTGTTTTTTGCAAAGGAAAGCGGATTACAACAAAACAACCGGATCTTGATCAACTCGAGTTACCTGAGGCTTCCTCACGAAAATGATGAAAACGTGGCTGCGGCCTAGGCGCGGCGGGGGGGGCGCGCACCAGGGGGCCCAACAATAATTATTCTTTAGAATTAATAATGTTCAAAAACAATGTTCTTAGACCATAAGCACGATGTGTAACAAAAACAAGACAATCGCAGCCAGAAATGTTCTAAGAACATCTCGTGCAGACCTCAACAGGTTCTTAGAATATTCTTTGGTTGGCCCTATAGGCAGACCAGGACGCTTCGCCACTGCTCGAATTACGCGTGGCCTTACGCGGGTAACTTGCGCGCCAATGTCGGAGCAGTCGTCCCCGCCGTTGCTTGCGCCGCTCGCCTGGCGCCTCCGCCTGGCGCGCACAAGGAAGCCCCTGGCGGCGGCCTGGAGCTGCACCGCCCCTTGGCGCCTCACCTCGCAAGGAGGAGGCCAGACCTGGGACAACATCTGGCGGCGCGCAGAGGGAAGTAGAGGGAGGGGGGAAGGCCTCTTAGAAGGTGACCGCTTCTTAGAAGGCACCGGCCTTACATCTACAGAGAAGGCCCGCGTCTTCTAAGGAGCAGGGATGCTTCGAAGAAGCGTTCCCCCCTCCCCCTGCCGCCCCCCCCCTCTGCACGTGGCCGAAACATCGGGCCGGGATGACGTCGGGGATCTCTGAGATCCGGCGGATCTGGAAGATGCATCGGGCGCAACAGGCGCTCCAGAGTTTCCTAGCCCAAGGACCCATCAGCATCGAATCGGGAAGTCGGATCGGATGGAGATGTGCGTCGGATCGGGCCGCATCGGTACGGATCCGAAATCCAGGCGGATCGGCTGCGCCAGGATGCACAACGGCGCCGTGCAACCTGCAAAAATCGGGCCGCGTCGGGCCGACGGAAAGTCGAATCGAGTCGGATCGGGCCACCCGAAAACGACGAGGAGGAGGAGGAGGAGGAGGAGGAGGAGGAGGAGGAGGAGGAGGAGGAGGAGGAGGAGGAGGAGGAGGGAGGAGGGAGGAGGGAGGAGGGAGATGGGAGGGCGGCACCATAAGTTGGAGGGGGGAAGGAGGAGGAGGAGGAGAAGGAGGAGGAGGAGGACCCCCTCCACCTCCAACTTATGGTGGTGGTGGTGGAAAACAGGCCCATCACTGGTGGTCTTGTGCATCCGGAAGCCCAGCCACCGCCTCTGCAGCATCAGCGCGCAGTGCTGCCGCCTCCTGGCACCATTCGGGTCGGGCGAAAGGGGGGGATAGCAAAGGGGGGGTTTGAGAATCAGCTCACGTAGCTGATTTTCCCGGCGCCTCCCGCGCCGGAGGCGGCTATGTATCGAGGAATGGGCCCCTCGGTGAGGCCGCAACCAGCTGCATGCAGCAAATTTCGTAACCCCCCCTTTCCCAATCCCCACCCCTTTCGCCCGGCCCGAACCATGGCCCCCGGACCGGCGCGGGGCCCGGGAGGTCTGGAAACCGAGCCGACACGATCGGACCGCGACCCGAGCCGACTGGCAGAGGCGGGACCGCGACCCGAGCCCGAAGCGTCCAGACCGAGCCAGGCGCGCACCGATGGAAGAAAAACTGGAGATTGATCTTTGTTTCTCCTCTGGTGCGTAACAGTCGTTACCCGGGCCATCCCCACCCCCGGCCCTGGGGAGGGGTAACGATCGTTCGTGTGGGGGGGGGGTCTGGACATCCTCCCACATGCTGGTGCTCGCGGGCATACTAAGGCGATCGCAACGCACCCCCGCCTGGACATGCCCAACCCCGCCCAAAGATTACCGTTACCCAGGCCCACCCCCGGGTAACGACCGTTACCAGAAATAGTGCAAGAACAATCTTCCGAGGGGGCCATCATGTCCTGATGACCTTGCGCAAAGCCATGCGCTCCAGGTCCGCGATGGTGAGAGTGTATGCCATCTCGGGGTCCCAGTCGCCTTCTTCCAGTCCGAGGCGAGCAGCGATGAGGTGCATGGACCTCCTCGCGGCCACGGTCAATGACGACGAGGATGGGAAGGTTAACAAAGAAGCAGGATCAGTCGTGAGGAAGAGGAGAAATGAGGGTGAGGAGGGGGAGAGGAGAAGGATGAGCAATCATATTCCAGACCTCAGACGTCGTGTCTGTCTACGACGCGCTTCCATCGAGCTCTGGACCTCATCCCCAAGACAAACTGTTCGTCGCGGGTCGTCATCTGGTCCTGGGACACGAAGATTGCCCCTGGTGGAACAACGCCCGTTGTGTGCGCGTGCGTGTGTGTGTGTGAATGCGTGTGTGTGTGTGTGTGTGTTTGTGTGCGAATGTGTGTGTTGTGTGTTTGTTTGTGTGTGTGCGTGTGGCCGCCTGTCTCTTCAGTATCGGCTTGTACCGTTTGTAGCCCCGCTCGCCCCCTCTCACGGCTGCCCCGCCGTGAGATCCCCACGCAGCGCGGTTCCCAATGTGTGAACCCTGCGCCACCCCGCTCGGTTGCTGCGTGATGACCCAATCCACCTCTTTCATCCGCCCTGCTAACTCCGCCGCAACGCTGCGCGCGCGGCCGCGACGCCAAAACATGTCCGCGACCGCTTCAGATGCACTCGGCGGCTGTCTTCCCGCTACGGCGCTGAGGGAGAAGTCGGGTAACCCTGCGGGCGCACGAAGGCACGACCCCCCCCCGACCCGGGGCACGCACCCACGGCGCCACCTCTGCAAGGCGCACGTGCCACCCAACTTGGCGCCGTCGTTCGGAGCAGGCCAGCTGAGACAACGGAAGCTCAAAACTGGTCCCTGGACCCCTCCCGGGGTCCAACCGCAGCAGTTTTTCGAGATGCGTCCGGATCTTTGCGCCTCAGATGGAGGAGGGGAACCTCTCCTGAGCGATCGGTGGGAGGGAAGGAAGAGAAACACAAAGATGTGACCGAGGACGACGGAAGAGGGGAAGGTGGTGGAGGAGGAGGAGGAGGTCGAGGAGGAGGAGGAGGAGGAGGAGGAGGAGGAGATCGAGGAGGACGAGGAGGAGGAGGAGGAGGAGGAGGAGGAGGAGGAGGACGAGGAGGAGGAGGGGAGGGGGAGGGGGAGGGGGAGGAGGAGACGGAGGAGGAGGAGGAGGAGGAGGAGGAGGAGGGAGGAGAGGAGGAGGAGGAGGAGGAGGAGGAGGAGGAGGTGGAGCGCGGCCAGGAGGGAGAGACCGAGAAGAGTGCGCGCCCCCGCAGGGGCCTGCCCTCCCTCGACCCGTTGGGCGCGGTGCCCGCGGCACGCCCCCCGCCGAGGCGCCCCCGCCCAGGAGCTCCGACGCCGCGGCAGCATCGCAACACACCGCGCACCCACGCGAGCAGAGGAGAAGCAGGAGAAGGGGGAGAAGGAGGAGGAGGAGGAGGAGGAGGAGGAGCAGGAGCAGGAGCAGGAGGAGGAGGAGGAGGAGGAGCAGGAGCAGGAGGAGGAGGAGGAGGAGGAGCAGGAGCAGCAGCAGGAGGAGGAGAAAGCCATGTGGGTCCTTACCCATAGAGGCCTCCTGGTAGGGGTCCGAGTGGAGGAGGCGGGGGAGGAGGAGGACGAGGAGGGGTGGCGCAGGATGGGGAAAGGAGGGAGTGGAGGCCTCTTAGACGGGGCAGGAGTAGATGGGGTCGGAGGATCGCGCCGCATCGCCGATGTATCGGCGATGCATCCGCGGCGTCGACGTGGGCCCGCACCAAAGGCCGCTCTGTCGAAGAGTGGGCCCAGCGGCGGGGCCGAAACAGGCTGCACGCAGCAGATTTCGTACACCCTGCGAAATGCTTAAGAAATCATGGGTTAAGAAATTCATAGTCTCAGAACTTGAATAAAAACCCAACATTTCTATTCTAGTCTTAAGATTTGCATTGACATATTAAGAATAATCGAGACTCTGGCCGAAAAAATAAGTTGTCTTAAGCATCGCATAAGGTGTACCCCCCCCTTTCCCTCCCCCCCCTCGCCCGGCCCGACCCACGCCAGAGCGACCCAAGGCAGGAGGGACCTTTGCTGCGCGGCCTGCCGCGGCCGCGAGGGGGTCGGGTCCGAGCGCGCAGGCCGATGCTGGGGGATGCCCTGGTCGCTCTGGCGGCGGGTCGCTCGCACGTGCCGCCCGAACCTGTTCCCCGGGACGGGCTCGTCATCCTGCGCCGCTCTTTGGCGGCCCCCAGGGTTCTGAAACGCGACGCTGCGAACACACAACTGCAACACAGTGGGGAGCCCCAGACCTCATCTTTCGGCGCAACTGTTCGAGCCGAATCGATGCGTGATGGTCCCGGGGCACGGAACTGGGCGAGAACGCCCCTCCGCCTCAGACGTGCGCTGTCCTTCTGCTGCCCAGACACGCGATCCCCCAGAAGCCCCGACCCCGAGGCGTCCTCTGGCGGCCCCGGGGCCCAGCGAGGGCCCCCCTGTAGAGAGAGCGCAGGCTCCACAGACCACGCCCGCCGCGTCTCTCCTCCACGGTGCGGGCAATGCAACTTCTGGGGCGGGCCCGCAGCCGGGCGCACACGCCCGCTGCGAGCCACGCCCGCTGGATCCGCGCCGCGCGCCGCGCCCCGCGCCCCTGCCGAGGCGCGGCGCGCGGCCGCGCCCCGCGCCCACGCGCCCGCGCGCCGCCCCTCCTCTGCGCGACGCGCCGCTCCCCCGCGGCACCTCCCCGGGCCGCGCTCTGGCCGGAGAGGCTCCCGGGGCGAGGTCGGCCGTGGCCCCGTTCGGGCCTCTGCTCGTTCGGGCCCCGAGGCCGCGCGGTGACGGACCGCAGAGGGACCTCGGCAGCCCTGGCGACCCCACCGCACGGTCCGTCGCCGCACGGCTCTGCGACCGTGGAAGCCCCGGTTGCCCGAGACATCCTCGGAGAACGGTGCCAGTCCCTGAACCGCGTGGCGACCCCGAATCCCCGCCGACTGCGCACACGGTGTGGTCACCGCCGTGGCCACCACACCGCTTGGAGGGCCCTGGCCTGCGTCAAGGAGGCCTGGAAAGGCAGCAAAGCCCAAGGGAAGGCATCGGGTACCTTTGTATGTTTGCTGTCTTCCCTCTGGCCAGCGCTCCTCGTGGTCATCGTGGTCATGGTCTCCACCGTCAGGTGGGGCTCGGGGCGCTGGCTGTGGAACCTCTCGCGGGCGAGAAGGGGGCATGGGCCAGAAGAGCCTCGGCTCTGCACGGCGGCTCTGGGGCCGCCGCCGTCATCGCTGTCGTCGTGGACGCCGTCGTGGACGCTGTCGTCGTCGTCGTCGTCGTCGTCGTCGTCGTCGTCGTCGTCGTCGTCGACGTCGTTTCGTGGTGGTGGCCGTCGCTGCCGTCGTTGTCCCCCTCCCCCTCTCCAACCCTCCTACCCTCCCCGGGGGAGAGAGGACGGGGAGGCTTTGGGGGCCCCTGATGTTGTCGGGCGGCCTGGGAGGCAATGGGGATTCCTCGGAGGTTCGGGGTGGTACCCCGGAGGTCAGAGTAGCAACAGGAACGATCACAAAACGTCCCATCCACCTCCTCCTCCTCTTCCTCCTCATCCTCCTCCTCCTCCTCCTCCTCCTCCTCCCACATATATATATATATATTATCCCTCTCATCTTCCTTCTCCCTCCCTCTTCCTCCTCCCTTTCTCCTCGCCCATCTTCATTCCGCCTCCTCCTCCTCGTATGTCCTCCCGATCTCCCCCTCCTTCGTCTGATCCTCAACCCTTCTGCTCCCCCCTCATCTCCCTCCTCTCCTGCTCGTTTCTGTTGTTCTTCACTCCTCCTCCTCCTCCTCCCTCCTCCTCTCCTCCTTCTCCTCCTCATCCTCCTCCTCTCCTCCTCCCCCTCCTCCTCCCTCCCCCTCCCCCCCCCTCCCCTCCCTCCCTCCTCCTCCTCCTCTTCCTCCTCCTCCTCCTTAGTATCCTCCTCGTCGTCGTCGTCCTTCTCCACCGCCTGCGGAATCCTCCTCCCCTAGCTCATCTTCCCATGTGATCCTCATCCCTCCCTTCCCTCTCCACCCACTGTCTCTCACCACCGCTTCGTCATTCCGACCCGTTATCCATTCTCCGTTCTCCCCTCTCCATTCCTCGTTCCCCGCTCCCCCGTCTCCCCTCACCGTGCCTCCTTCCTACTCCCTCCCACTTCCTCCTTCTCATATTTCCGCCTCCCTCCTCCTCTCCTCCTCCCCCTTCTCCTCCTCCTCCTCCTCCTCATCCTCCTCCTCCTCATTTCCTGCTCCGGGGGCGTCCTTGTGCTCGACCTCGTCGCCGTCGTCGCCGAACTCGGCGCCGTCGCCGTGGTCGATGTGGTCGCCCCCCCCCCCCCCCCCAGCCGGGAGCCTGTAGCGCAGCCCTGGGATCTCGGGCAGCCGCGCGGGGCGGTACAGCTCCTGGCTTTCTTTTCTATCCTTCTCTCGCCTTCTGTCGCCCTTTTCCCTCCCTTCATCCCTCACCCTGTCCGTCCTGCACTCCCTCTCCCCCTCCTTTCCGCATTGTCTCTCTGTCTCTCTGTCTCTCTGTCTCTCTCTCTGTCTCTCTGTCTCTCTCTCTCTCTCTCTGTCTCTCTCTCTCTCTCTCTGGTTCTCTCTCTCTGCCTCTGTGTTTGTTGTGTTTCGCTCTCTCTCTCTCTCTCTCTCCCTTTCTCTTTCTCTCTCTCTCTCTCTCTCTCTCTCTCTCTCTCTCTCTCTTTGCGCCATCAATATGTTGTATGCTGTCTTGTGCCCTCTCTCTCTTTCTCTCTTTCTTGTTTTGTTGTTTTCTCTCTCTCTCTCTCTCCCTCTCTCTCTGTCTCTCCATCTCATTATCTTCCCCCTCTGTCTCTGCCTCTCTTTCGCGGCATCATCTCTGTGCCTTCCCTCTCTTGACTTGTCCACCAGGCGTCGCGGGGTGCGGGGGGCCGCGATGCGCGGATTGATTTGTCTCGCCGCGTCGGTTTCTGCAGGCGTTGTTGTTGTGTTCGGGCTCTACTCCAACCATTAAAGATGGAGAGGCAGATACAACGGGAGAGCCGAGAAACAAAGCGAGAGAACGAACAAAAAAATAGGGCGTATGAAAGTAGATGGAAAGGAGGTGGGGTCCTATCACATCAGTGCCCATCGAGCCCTCCGCGGGTAACCCGCTGTGACGCTGGGGACGCAACCAGCTGCTAAATTTGATTATGAAGGGGAACGGACGCACTGTGGGCCCCTGGTCGAGGGACTCTCAGGAGCACGCATCTCCGAAATGGACCTCTCAGATCTTTTAACATTACCCCTAGGGGGGCTTGCCCCCCTCCCACGACTCACCGCCTCCCTTTCCTCTGGGCGGCTGCTGTCTAGTAAGTATGCTAAATGGCACTGAGGGCGTAACCTGAGACCCATACACCTTGCGAAATGCTTTAGAAATCATGGGTTAAGAAATTCATAGTCTCAGAACTCGAATAACAACCCAAAAGTTCCTTTCAAATCTTAGGATTTACATTGAAACGTTAAGAATAATCGAGACTCTGGCCGAAACATTAAGTTTTCTTAAGCATCGCCTAAGGTGTATCCTTGGGCTGACCTCGTGCCTCTGCGAGATGCAGCAACAACGCAGCGTGAGATCGTTCCTTTCTGAAAGCAAAGCCTGCGAGGCGCACGCTGTTTGCAGGAATTGTTCGCGCGACTTTCAAACACTCGCGCACCGACGCGTTACCGTTCTCGTCCCCTCCAGGATTCTCGAGACCATCCGCTTCAACGGGCCGCGCGAACCTTGGCCCGCCAGGGTCGCCGGTCGCTCTGGTTCCAGCGGCGCCCAAATAATGAGATACAGTCTGGCTCCGAGCTCTGAGTGGCGATCGATTTTCGGGGATGCGGGGTAAATCGGTTCCTCGCCGTTGGCCTCCTCCCGCGCCTTCGCGCGGCCAACCTTCGCGACGCGGTCGAGGAAACGGAAGGACATGTTTGACGTCGCGCTGCTCATGCGGTCGGGCATATCCTCGATAGCGCTTAGCACCCCCGCCCCCTTGACCCCCGCATCCACCGCCGCGCTGTAAAAGCGCAGGCGCCATGAAAATCAAGAGGCGGGCGGGGGGCGCCTCTTGATTTGCAGTTCGATTCGATCCCGTTCCCCGCGTCGTTGCGAAGCTGTTTGCGGGTCTCGTCGCAGCCTTGTCCTGCCCGAACCATTGCCAGCGCGGGCCCTGCAGCCGGCGCGATGTTCCACGCGGCAAGCGCGCGGCGCAAAGGTTGGCCACGTGCCGGGTGCCATCGGCAGGAACTTTGACGACGGCCCCCACCTTCACCTGGCTGCCAGGGTGGCATTGCTTCTCCTTGCGACACGCGGCGGTCTGCTCCTCTCCGAGGGCCACTCGCTTCGGCCTCTGCTGGTTGAGCCACGCGGGAACGGACGCTTTGCCGCGCAATCGCGCATGTCGACAGTGGAACACAAAGATGCCCCAAGACAGGTGCTGCTAGAGATCCTCGCGCAAGCCGGACAAAGTTTGAGCCGAGAATTAGCGGCGGAAACAGTCGAGACAGCCTGGGGATCGTCGGGGCCAGAGCCGACGGGGCTGTCGCGCAACAGTGCTTCCGACAAGAGAGCCCCGTAGACGACGATGTGCTGCGGCACGGCTCGATTGCACTTGTTCGCGGCAGCGGGTGCGCGTTCGCTGGAGCTGCATCGCGGACGCGGCGGGCGAAAGGCGAATGATGGCCCAGGGCTGTTCGGCCCGCTTAACTCCGTTCCCACTGGGCCCCGTCAACTTGAACGCAACATCGACCCCCCCCCCGCGAAGCCAGGCCTGGAGACGAGGCGGGCGGGCCGGGCGCGCGGGCGCAGGGGGGAGAAAAAGGGCGAAGAGAAAAGGGCCCCGGCAATCGGGGCGGGCGCAAACCGAGCGCTGTTGCCGACGCGTGTATTTCTCAAGCCTATGGCTAGAAGCTAAAACTCCGCGCAATCGTCCTATTTTCTGAGCGGGATAAGGAACGACGTGATCGACCCCAGGGTCGCTGCCATCCAGGCGTTTCGCCGCGGGGCCAAAATGACCTGCGGGACAGACGGAGGGGCGCACTCGGGGGGGCGACCGTCGCGGACCCCGGGAGGCAGCGAGCGCGCCCGCGCTGTTCCACTCGGAGACCCGCAGAGACAAAGCCGCCCCGATCGTCGCTGGCAAACGCATCGCCCACCTCGACCCTTGGGCGGCGTTCTTCGGCGAGCCAGCAATTGCGACCCGCTGCCGACGCGGTGGGGCGCAACTGTAATAACGCATCCTGGCGAGGCCGACGCTCGGCATGCAATGGGAAGCCCGCGCCCGCGGGAATCGCGCCCACGGCCCTGGCCCTCTCGGCTGCCGCGCGCTGTCGTTCGCACCGAGCAGCCCGTGCCAGACCTCGCTCGGAAACGTTCCTTGGGGTGCGCTTCTCATCTTGGTCGCCGCCCTGAGGTGGCGTTCGAGGGCCGTCGCGTCGTCCTTCGACATTTCCTAGGGTGTCCCCCGTCGGCTTCCACGTTCTCGAATCTTTCTTTGATCCTCTCGACACCGTCTCCACCCGCTCCGATTCATCCCGTGGACCTGCGCGCCCCCGAAACCCCCCGTCGTGCTGCCGTGTCCCTGGCCGTCCAACCGCGCAGGTGCAGTCGGCGGTGCTGGCGCAAAATGAGCAAATATCCATCCAGTTTGCGGCCCATGTCTGCAGAGCGCCGCTTGGCGATTCGCGCCTATGGCCCCCGCATTCCCCGCTGCGCCCCCGCGCCTCGCTGGCCTCCGACAGCGACGCTGATCGACGCTGTCTCGCGTGGCGACGACGATGCGGCGCTGGCGGTTTGAAAGAGCGTGTTCTACCGCTGCTGGCGGAAAACCGGGGGGGCCATGGCACTACTGGTTCGACCCCCCTCCCTTCTGGGAAACCGGGGGGGGGTCGCTGCCGGTTCGAACCCCTCCCCCCCCTCCCCCCAGTCCATCATGAAAAAAAGGGGGGGGGCACTACCGGTTCAATCCCCCCCCCCTCCCGTCCAGAAAACCGGGGGGGGTTACTACCAGTTCCACCCCCCCCTCGATAACCGCGGGGGGGTCACTCCGGTTCGAACCCCCGCGGCCGGGCTGGGGAGAGTGGGGACATTGACACGCCGCTGGGGGCACTGGTGGGGACAGCGGGGACAATGGTGGGAACAGTTGGGACAGTGGGACATCGGTAGGGACGGCGGTGGACAATGGTGGGAACAGTCGGGACTGTTGGACAGTGGTTGGGACGGCGGTGGTGGGAACATTGGTGTGGGGACAATGGGAACGTGGTGGAAACAGTGGGACAGTGGAGGGTACAGTGGTGGCGGGGACAGCGGCGAGGGCGGTGGCGAGGACGGCGGTGGGACAATGGGACAGAAGCGCAGTGGGGACAGTGGCGGGGACAGTGGCGACAGCGGTGGGGACAGTGGGACGGCTCAGTGGGACAGCGGAGGAGACACTGGGACAACGGGGACAGTGGGGACAGTCGGGCAGTGGTTGGGGCCGTGGAGAAAGCGGGGGAGAGTGGAACCGTGGTGGGAACAGTGGTGGGGACAGTGGGGACAATGCGACAATGGTGGGGGCAGTGGTGGGGACAGTAGGGGCGGTGGGGGTTAAGGGGGGAGGGGCCTTTGCCGGGGGAAGGGGGGAAGGGGGGGGGCAAGCTAGGTGCGCTCGCGTCATATCTGACATCCTACCCCTCCCTCCCGTCCGCTACAATGGCGTAGATCCCCTCTCTACGCGCACAGTCGGATGTCGAGCAGGGCAATGATCCCGAAAGGGTATGCGATGCATTGTAGATCACGGCGTGGCATGGCGTAGAAGAGCACCGCAAAGCGCAGTATCAACCTGGCATTGCGTTGCATGCCGTGGCATGGCACGGGAAATGACGCCAACACTGCAGCGGGAGCACGAATCGGAACGAGCGGAAGCGCGGAAATGAGGCCAGCGCTGCAGCGGGAGCACGATTCGGAACGAGCGGAAGCACGGAAATGAGGCCAGCGCTGCAGCGGGAGCACGATTCGGAACGAGCGGGGCCCGAAAATGAGGCCGGCGCCTCAGCGAGAGCAGCATTTTGGAAACAAATGCCGGCGAAAACCTAACTCCGGGGAATCCTGTGTGCAAAAAACAATACGCGTGGGGGGCTAACACTTTCAAGCCGTCACCAGGGGAAGAGGGAAAGTAGTATTCATATTGGGTAATAGTGAAGGGAGAAGGGGAAGGGGGGACGGGGGTCCATCAGGGGGGGAGGGTTTCGGAGGGGGGGGGCCCAGTTTCCTCTGGAAGAGGGGGGGGAATTTTCCATAGTAAAGCGGCGGTGGATCACGCTTTCTCAGGGTAATTCCGACATATATGTCAATCGTTTGTCTAACTCCCCGCATTTTCCTCATCCGAGCCGCGTAGCCCTACTCGCTCTCGTAAACGTCGACGTCGCTCGGTTGCCTGACTCCGCCACGGTTCATCACGTTCCTGTGTGAGCTGTAATTGCAGATCACTGGCAATACATGCATCCACGGATTCGGATAGTGCGCCAGATGATTCCCAATCCAGCAAGATACGTGCTGGTAGAGACTGCACGCCCGCTCGAGTAGAATCCAAGAAAACGTCCCTCCATCGTCCTGTTGGCCCCGTCTCCACCATTGCTGTGCTTTCCCATTTCGGATTGTCCCCAATCCACCCGAGCGTTTCCTGCGACGCGAAACTTCCGGTTCTCGACGCAATGACCGATGGGGAGGTGATCTGTGGGCGGCGCACCCTCAAGGCCTGGAGTTTCGCGCCAAGCCTGGGGACCATCTGGCGGCCCTTGGCAGGAAAGGGAAGGCGGCGCCCATAAGATACAGAGGGTCACCCATTCTGCTCGAGCCCATATCCCCGTAGGAAGT